AAGGAGCTGTGTTTGGTAACATTGTTTCACTGAAGGAGCTGTGTTTGGTAACATTGTTTCACTGAAGGAGCTGTGTTTGGTAACATTGTTTCAATGAAGGAGTTGTGTTTGGTAACATTGTTTCACTAAAGAAGATGTGTTCAGGTAACATTGTTTCATGGATGAAACAGAATAAGCTTCACTCACTTCGTCCTCTTTTAAGTTCTTTTCATTTTTTTTTCCTTTCTGCACAGACTTAAAGGCATATTTGTGAATTATAATGTGCCCAAATACTCACTATTACATTTTAATTTTGAAGCAAAGTTCCCTGAATTAATTTTTGTAATATCAAACTGTGTAGGACTGGAGAGATGGTTTAGTGTCTAAAGAGCACTGACTGCTCTTTCAGAGGACCTGAGTTCAGTTCCCAGCACTCAAGGCTGCTCACAACCACCTGAAACTCCAGCTCTAGAGGATCTGGTGCCCTCTGCTGGCCGTTTTGGGCACCTGCACTGGCATGCACAGAGATATATGCACACACATCTAATTTAAAATAAAATAAAGCCTGTTTCCTATTGTTTTCTTGCTGCATTTTGGGGTTCAGCGTAATGAAGCTTACATTGGTCGCAGGCAAGTTCTTACTCCTTTTTTCTGCTGTTTTGGAGTGGTTCCAGACTTGAACCAGCAGTGATTTCAGAGTGTTCCGATTGGCAGATAGTGAAAATGAAAGCAGATTGATTATGACCCAGAAGTGAGAGTTGACCATATACTCCTGGTCATACAACTGCTCCGTAACTATGGTACTGATCCTCAGCAACGGCTTTTGTTCTCCTGTTGTTTCCTGTATCCCACAGGATGAATTTCCATTCTAGGGAAATGATGTTTTCATATTGTCTGAGATCAAGTACAGGCCAGTGTTGGATCTCACCCATAGAGTCCAGGCAGTTTGCTTTGTGAAGAGGCTTAAACTATCTTCTCTGGAGCTTTTGGGAATAAATGAGTGTGGTTTGAGTTCCTTCAGTTCTCAAGTAATAGGACAACATTGGTTGATTCCCATGCAAAGTTAAAAACATAAATTAACAATCTCTGTGTTAAGACCCCCTTTGTCACCGGGCAGTGGTGGTGCACACCTTTAATCCCAGCACTTGGGAGGCAGAGGCAGGCAGATTTCTGAATTAGAGGCCAGCCTGATCTACAGAGTGAGTTCCAGAACAGCCAGGGCTACACAGAGAAACCCTATCTCGGGAAAAAAAAAATCAACTTTGTCCCCTGAGATACAGAAGAAAGTGGTACATGCTAGCCTGGGGCCCAGTTTCAACTATACTGCTATTCATATCATGACCAATGATGACATCAGTTACCCGTTTAGATGCCTTCTAAGATTTGGAATGCCACAGCTCTATAGTGTCATAGCTTAATGAGTTAATTCTAAGTGCACTGGAACTTTCTCTATGAAGGTCAAACTCACAATAAAGCTGTTGTTGTATAAAAAAAAATAATTGTTTTCAGAATCATGACCAAGGCCTGACTCTTTAAGCATGTGGTAATCCTTATGCTTATTACAAAGTTGAGGCAGGAAGCTCGTGAGTCTGAGGTCTGCCTGTGTTATATAACTTCTATTAACCTACATGCTAAAGCAGAAATTGCCAGCATCTGGGATCTCCAGCATAGCTCATGATCACAAGGAAATTCACATATGTTTGCAATGGAAGTTGGCGTGCAGTGTGTACTTTGTTGTCCTGTGTCAGTGTTTTTGTAGACACAGTGTTGACACTTGTCACTTGAGGAATTTAATTTCTTAAGCAACAAAAATGGAAACCTTACTCGTGTGTCAGTGGAGTTTGGGAGCTAATGATTTAGCTTCAACTAGACTGTGAAAGAATAAATCTTTGTTTTTAAGCGATACAAGTTTGACCATGAGCAGACCAAGAATCAGATGATATAATAGCTCTGCCACCACCTGCTGCATGAAATTTGGAGCAAAATATTTCAGTGGGGGAAAAAAGCAGTGGCACCCAGGTCCATGGAGTTGTGATAAGACAAATAAGTTAGATACCCAAAGCTCTCAGAATAGTGCCTGCTATACAGTTGAGTTCTTGGTAAGTATTATTCTTGCTAGTATGTGACTAATACCTTGAGGCCCAAAGAGGTATACTGTGGCATCCCAGAATCACAGTTTCCCAGTAATGGATGGGACCACAGGAAGAGATTTCAGGTTTCCTTCACTTCTGTCCTTGAATACCTCAAAGAGCCCTGAATAGAAAGTGCCTCATGAATGAGGCTCCTGGCCTCAGACCGAGACTCCCCTTTCAGGCTTGTTAGGAATAAAGCCCAACTTTCTTACCCTCAAACCTGACCAAGTCACAGGAAGCCACCACCTTGGAGACTTGTGAACCCAGTCCTTCATAACTCCCCCTATACCATTTTATTTATCTTTACATGTTAGGATCATGTTGGCTCAATACCTTTGTATCCTAAGAATGATCTTGTTTTACTTCTATGCTCAGGTTCTGGGACTGAGTGAATGGAAAATCCCGAGTGTTTTAAGTTGCTAAGTAAATGCTACAAAAATGTAAGCTCTGACCATCTCCCATTACTGTTGCTTCATAAAAGCAAGCACATACATGCATCACAGCGGCAGTGGGATATGACCATGGTGCTGTGCTGTTTGTCTACTCATGTGGCTTTGACCTTCTCCAGGGAATGGGTCCTGTTGCTATTCATGCACCCATGTCTCAGGTGGACATCACTGTGGGAAGGTAGTCTTCCCCAGTCTTGTATGTAACAGAGTCAAATATTCCTGATGCCATGGACATCCTCTGAAAAGTGTATCACTAGATAGTTCCATTACTACACAAACACCATAGAGTATACATGCTTATGTAGACCTGGTTTGCACCCAGGCCAGCTGGGAGATAAATGGAGGCATATATAAATGTTCACCAGCCCATTGTTCCTAGGACTTTGATGAATAAAACAACTCAAGACTAAGTCAAGCACAAAAGGGAAGAGATGCAATCAAGAGACAAAAGTCAAGACTGGAAGATGGCTCAGAGGTTAGGAAAACTCCCTGCTCTTCCAGAAGACAGGAGTGCAGATCCCAGAACCCAGGCAGCTCACAACCACCTGTAACTACAGATCTAGGGGATCCAATGCCCCCTGCTGGCCTCAGTAGGCACCCACACATACACAGCATACACATGCACACACAAAAAAAATAATTCTAGTTTTTAAAAGAGACAAGGTAAACACTGGGCATGTTAGGCAGCTGCTGTCAAACACAGCAGACTAATTTACAATCCACACCTTTTTTTTTTCTACAAGTAGGAGGAACATACTCTGAAATCACAGTAGAAAGTCCAGTATAGGAAGTACTGTGCTGATAACACAGTCGTTTCCTTGCCTTGTCAAGGATGACGGACTGCATGTGCTTCGTGTACTGTTCCTTTATCCGGCTGGTGGCCAAGTGTTGTGGTTCAGACCAGCATCACTACAAATGTCGGGGAATGCACTGTCCCACATTCCAACATCTGTGATGACTGGAAAACAGGATTGTTCCACTCCATATAGTCTTAGAGAGCACCATCATATGCTCAGTTCAGAGAATACTGAAGCTTCATGTGCGACATGGGATTGTAACTGAATTAACAAAGCAAGAGCCCCATATTCAGTGTGCCACTGATTGGAGGCACTGGCCCTTGACCCCTTCACAACTCCATGCCACACCCTAGATCCTCACACACTGCAGCTTACTCTTGCTGATCCCCAGGATCTTGACGTAGTTTCTTTTCTTTTGCCCCCCCCATCTAAATTGCTAGGAAAAGATCTGACTAATGTCTTGAGTGACTCTGAGTCACTGCACTGAACTGCTCAGCAGTTCTGCACTCTGAACTCTGATGCTTACTTAAAAGCTATCTCTCTATGCATAATTCTCAGAACCATCTAGAGAAGAGTTCCTCAGTGATGCTGAAATTCTGTTAGGGCCTTAGGAAACTGAATGGCCCACTGAGACCTGAGAAGCCAAGCCTAGTGATGCTAGCTTGCAATCCCAGCCACTCAGGAGGTGGAGGTAGAGAAAGGAAGATAGCAAGTTCAAAGTCTTTTCAGGGCTAGAGCATGAGCCTGAGGCCAGCTTGATCAGCTTAATGAAAGCCTAGCTCAAAACAAAACTATAATGACTAGCATGAATGAGGCCTGGTGTTTATTTTTCAGTATGGGGGTCAGAGGGGGGGAATGATATCATGAGATTCTACCAGTTTATAACAGGCTTGGTCTATAGTTCTCAGCTATTCACTCTTAGATACATGTCCAAGAGAAGTACAAACATGCATCTATACAAACAAGTGTTCGCAGCAACATAATAGCCAAAATCAGAAGCAACCCAAGTGCCCACCAAGGGATAGAGGCGCACTGTCCTTGAAATGAAATGGATTAAGCAACAGGAGAGAAGGGCAGTAACAATGGATGGGTAGGAAATGGACAGAGATGAGAGACACTCAGCTAAGTGATGGAAGCCAAACCCAAAAATAAGTGGTCCATGTGTATAGAATGCCCGTGAGTGACAAATCCGTAAAGGCAGGTGGTACCGGGGATGAGGGGAGGAAACAAAATTGAAAAAATCGAGTGAGACTACTCAGGGTAAGTGGACTCTCGTAGGATGATATATACAAGGGTTACTTTTGTATTGCTATGATAAAATCTCTGACAGAAACAAATTAAAGAAGAAAGGATTTGTTTTGGCTCATAGTTTCAAGGAGTTCAGTCATCATGGCCAGCAGGGTA